TTATTATCTTATCTAGATTATTTTTTAAGTGTTTTATTTTTATTGTCATTAATGTTTCAAGCAGGATTTACTGCTAATTATAATTTTAAACTAGTACAAATTTCTTATCCAATTTTATAATATAAGTACTATTATATTATAAGATAAGTATTACACACACAAAAATAATAAGTTTTATTTTTTAATAATTACTATTAGACTAATCGCTATTTAATAAATGTTATTTAAATTAATTATAAACTATTACAGTATTATTGTCTAAATTTTCTCAATAGTTGAACAATAATTTTGTTAAACTGTTTGAATTATTTTTCTATATTTTTTTTGCAATTTTTTCTGTAAAACAATTGTCTTTCAAGAGTATCAATGTCTGACAAAAGTAAACATAAAATACTTTCTATTTATTTATTTTGCGAAACAATTAGTCGTAACGTCTATAATGTAAAGTAGGTTTAAATAAGTAGCGAAAAGTTTTTGTTGTTGAAAGCATTTGCCTTACATTTACTTTAAGTAAACTACTGTCGGTTTAATAACAATGTTTAACACAATTTTTTCAACAACAAAAAAATAAAAGTAATATTTAATTAGCTATTTATTTACTTTAAAAAAAATTAGTAATAACTTTACAATGAATATTTGTATGATTATCCATACCCTATGTTAAAGATCTAACTAAAACTGATTATTAATAACAAAAGCAAAAATTTGTAGTATAGATGTAATAGTTTAATAATAATAATAATAATAATAATATCTATATGATTATTATTATTATTATACTGATAATTATAAATATATTGTTAAAAATTATATTTATACTTTTTCTAAATGACATTTAATATAAAGAGTAAATTATTATAACAATTAGATTTTGTAAAATATTAAAGTAGTTTAAAAAAAATAACAAACACGGTGTTTGTTAGAGCTTTCAAAATTAATAATGTATTATGTATTATGTATTAATATTAAAAATAATTACGATAACTAATTAATTATATAACTAATTAAATAATTAACTTACTTGTTTTATGAGTTAACTATATAAAAAAAGTAATGTTATTAATTTTATAACTTTTGAATAGAATATATATATACAGTATTTATATACTTTTTTGTATAAACTATAAATTTGTTTATCGATATATTTTTTATAATTTATAAAAAAATAAATATCATACAACTGTAATTAATAACAATTAATATTTGTTTACTAATTGTGTTGAAACAGTATTGCAAGTTTGGGTATATATATTTGGGTACTCATCCAATAGAGGATATGATAAAAGGGGAAAAAGGGGAAAAAGGGGAGTCAATTAGTACACAATGTATTACATATATGGGTCTATCACTGGTTGCTCAATAACATTGAAATACAAATTTTATAGTAGCCAACAAAAAAATTTAAAAAATTAAGGAAATAAAAGTGTTATAATTTTTTCCGTATATTTTCATATAATATAAAAATAATAAATAATAACTGAATATTAATATTACATATTGTTATAATAAATTTATATTTTAATAACTTATTTTTTTCAAAATTGGTCCTAATTCTACATATTTTATATGTAATTTTTGTTATACTCTAAATATTATATAGTTTGGTTACTCTAGTTTTTTTTTGAATACTTTATAATACCATTATATATATATATATATATATATATATACTCTTGCTTATTGTTTTGAAATGTGAAATATATGTAAATTTTGTAATCATGATAAGTCAAATAACAATATTATAATAATATCAAAATTAATAAGAAAAATATGTATTAATTATATTTATAAATTATAACTTTATTTATCAAGTTAAAATTTCTAATTCTTAATTCAACAATAATTAAATACTGTTTAATCTAACAATTTTAAAAAACAACTTTTGCAAAACATTTTTCGATTTATATTGTTATTTACAACTAATATTATAAATCTAAAAATTATTTATAAAATATTTTTTAAAAAACAATATCATTAATATATTGCATATTAACTATTATGATAAAATAGTATAAATATATCTTATATTTTATAGAAATTTCAAACTTAAAATATTAAAATAAAAAAATCAACATAAAAAAGTTAAAAATAATAATAATATTAAATTGAATTATTTTTATTTTGTATTAATATTTTTAACATTAATATTAATTTATTTTCATTAATAATAATTTAAAATTTAAAATATTCTTTTTTAAAGGTCAATTATTTTATAAACACTTTTAATAAAAACATAACAAATTAAATAATTTAAAATAAATATGTTTTAAATATGTTTAAGTTTTAATATTACTTATAGCTATCGATTAAGAATAATAGCATTTTTTATGAATTATTTTTTGGGACAATCTTTGACTTTAACACATCGATTAGTTTTATCATTAACAACATAACTCGGTTTGCATTGACATCCCGGAGCCGGTGTGTCCATACAGCTTATGGATCCATTTGATTTATGATTAGAGCATTTTATCGGACAAGTTGTGGCCAATTCACTGTACACTTGGTTCGGGTCTTTACATTTACCACCCGATACTCTCACGACTAAAATGATATTAATTTTTTTAGTGTAAAAAAATTAATTAATTAAAATTAATTATTTGATTATTTAATTAGAGTTTTTTTAGTATTTATTTTTTATTATTATTATTTATTTATAAGTAATATACTATACCATTGACACTTATCAATGTTGATAAAACAAACAAACATAATTGCAATGATAAAATTTTTTTATACATTATGGCTGTTATTATCATTAAAAATATTACAATAAATTTTGATTGTAATTTAATGGAGAAAATATTTTTTTACTACATATGTTTTTGAAAATTAATTACTATTTATAATCAACTTAATTAAATAAATAAATTATGAATTAGTTTTAAAAATTATATAAATATTTCTATTTAAATTATTATTTAGATATATTTAAATCAAATTAACATTGATATTATTATTATTTTATTATATTTATTAACAAGAGTTAAAATAATTCTATCATGGTAAAATATTAATTTTATATTTTAATTATATTTTAATATGATCTTAATTTAATAATAATTTATTTTTCAGTCAATTTAATTTAATTTCTCTGAATAAATAAATAGTAATTATTTGCGACAATCGCTGATTAGCACACATTTGCCAGTGGTTTCCGATCGTATATATGGATTGACACAAAAACAACCGGAACTACACATTGTATTCATACACGGATTAGGTGGGCGCTGATGGTTGCGACATGTTATGGGACAGTTGGGTCCGCAGTTGTCAAATTGTTCGTGAAGTTCTGTACAGGTGCTGTTTATAAATCGACCTGGCACAAATTGAAAAACATTATATATAAATAAATTATAATTAAAAAAAAACATTATTAGAAATAAAGACATAATAATAATAATAAAAATTATTTCACTAAAATAAATATTTTTATTATAATTATTTTACCGTTAATTACTACTGCATTATACAACATTATTAATGTAATAATAAAGTGAGTTATTTTAAAATTAAATATCATTATTTATTTTTTTCATAAATTTTTTTTAAAAAAATTAACACTTTTGAAAGATTTTTTAATGACTTAAACTGTAGCCTAAAAAATAATTTTGCTATTTTATATTAATAAATAATTTCCGCAAACAGTTTAATAAACAAAAATATATCTTATTAAATAATTAAAAACAAATAATTCATGGGAAACTTAGCAAGCAATATTTATTTAAGAAAATAAATATATAAATTACTTAATGTAAACTAATATATAATAGTATTGTATTATTATTGTTAGTACATGAAAGGGTAAAATACGATTAACACTTATCAAAGAAAAAACATTATATTATTATTAATAAATAATATTTATTTATAAAATTTATAATTAATAATTTATTTTCATTTTTTTTATTCTAAAATGTTTATTAATATAAACTAGAATTTTATAAATATTATTGCTTTAATTACTATAGTTGAATAACATATATAAAAAAATTGTTGAAATAAATATTTTTTAAAATTATTTTATATCATTTTATTTATAATATAATACAGTATATTATAATACTGTACTTATAATATACTTAAATGATCTATAATTTAGGATAATATGATACAATAAAATACTGTATCAATAAATTTATTTTTTATTAACACAAAACTTTTATAACATTATTTGTGACAATCCTTTTCTAGTATACATTTCCCCGATTGTTCGTCTCTGATATGATCTCTATCGCAAAAACAGTCCGATTTGCAGCTCTGGACACACATTGTTTGTTGGTTACGATTTTGACACGACTTCTCACAATTACTGCCACATTTCATATACACTTCATTAGCATTGCAATCATTAGTAGCTAAAAGTTTTAAAAAAAATATTTAAATATTAAATTTATTAGAATTAAATAAATATTTTTTTTTTAAATGAAACATAATTTTATAATTATAACTTTATTTTAATAACAATTAAATATATATATATATATATAAAGTTATATCAATTACTGACTTTTTGCATTGACTAAAGTACTAATCAAGCTTGCTAAAATAATAAATGTTATCCAAATCATTTTTTAAATCAGTTTATTTTTTGACTTTTATTTCTATTAATTTATATTATAAAATTAGTAATATATTTTGAATCAATAATATTATGCTAAACTAAAATGTTTATAATATAATAATGATATTTACAAATTAACAGCTTTTTAAATATTTTGTAATAAAAATGTATTTTTTGTTGTTGAAGATATTACATGTTATATTATAATTTTAATTTAAACTTTTATATTATTTATACAGTGTGTTATATATATTTTTTTGTAACTCATTTAATACATTTTAATATATAAAGTAAATAATATAATTATTTTCAATTATTTAAATTTATGTAATTTATATTTTAGAAAAGTATGCATTTATAACTAACATATATAACTTTATTTATTTAGATATTTATAATAACATTAAAAAAAATAATTTATAAAGTTTTATTTCAATTAAACTGCAAAAACAACAAAAACCACATTTGGGTTATTTTTGTTATTGTCAAACAATAATAAAATTATTATTATTATTACAACTATTATTGTCTATTATTTTGTTAGTAAGTTTGATAAAAATTTGTATTTATTATGAATTTAATAATAATAATAATAAACATTGATTCTTAATTTACTTTAAAATTTTTATTATATAATTAAGTTACTATAGTTTTAATATAATAATTAATTATTTATTATATTTATGATTTAGGCTCAAATAAATATTGTAAGTAATAGTAAATTTTTAAATTAATATTACAAGTTAGCAATCTAAGCAAATCTAAAAAACAAATTTATAATTATTAAAAAAAAAATATTATTAATAATTTTATTTTATTATTTGTTTAATTAATTAAGATAAATTAGCTTGCTTAATTATTAATAATTGTTGATTTATAATCTACTAAATGGAAAAAGTGCACTAAAATGAAACGGTCCTAATTTAAGTGTTATACCGGGAGGACTGTTATTATTGAATAATTTTTTGTTATTATTATTATTATTATTATTACATAATTTATTATTATTATTATTCATTTTATCGGAGCATTTGACGCCAACTTTATTTTTCTCGCTATTGCTATGAATATCAGTTGAAACAACCGGTTTGTCACTCAAACTAACAATACTATCAGTGCTTATGTCGCTGTTGTTGTTGTCGTCGATGTTGTTGTTGTTAACAGTGTTATCATTTGTTGTCATAGACTGGTCGCTGGTGTCCACCGATGATGGACAGTGCGATTGCGAAACATTAGTCAGATAGTGGTCGTTGATGTTGAACTCGCGCAACAACTCCCTGAGCTCGTCGACAATTTTCGGATCGAGTTTAGGCCGACGAGACATAATCTGTGCCGACTGTCGGTGCCGAATGACCAGAGGCTTACAGTTCCATACGAGTGCATAGTTGTCGTAATCGGTGGCCAATACTGTATACTGTCTGATGTTGACCACTCCCGAAGCCGATAGCGGATAGTCGATAGACATTTCCGATTTTGACTCATTTTTTGGGAAAATTATTTTACCTAAATATTTAAGAGTAATAATAATTAATAATAATAAAATTGCATATATAATAAATAATGAATATTTAGTTATTTTAGTTATTTTAGTTATTTTATTTAATTAATAAGTTTTTTGATTAACTAAAATATTTTATGATTATTCAATTAATATCTAATTTTCATATTTTTTTGTTATAAATATTGACATTGAAAAATATGTTATAATTTTTTTTAATGATATTAATACATATAAAACATAAACTTAATTAATAACATTAAAAAAAATAAATTAGTGTATACCAGTTACTGTTGTCAAAATAGGCGATCCCAGTACATTGAACTGTCGGGTAACAATATATTGATTTTGTTGTATCATGGTAAAATTTTCGCGCACACAATCACTGTATGATTGAAACTTTTGTATGACATACCATTGGCCGACAAACTGGTCGATCTCAAAGTCGGCCATCGGCTCTACAAGTGGACAATCGCCCCGTTGTAGGACATGGCCTACACTTGTTATCCGAGACGATACAAATGTATTGAATAAATATATGAAAAATACTAGAATTTTTATTAAATTATTCATATTTATAGATATTATTAGTTAGTTTTTAAAACAAACAAATATTAAATTGTATTTTTAACTGACAATACAGTTCAAAGTATTGTATCAAAATGAACAGTTAGGTTATATTTTTATAATATATATATATACATATAAATAAATACTTAAGATATATATTATTTAAGGTATGTTTACTACTATATATTTTTGATAATTTTTAAAAAAATTTTTAATCTGTATACTAACTTTTCAAGTTTTCTAAATACTACTACTAATAATACATGTTACATATTACATGTATATTTTCTAGGAATCTCATATATATTATGATAATTATCAATAACAAAAATTTTGTTAAAAAGGTAAAAAGGTTAAAATTAAAAGTTCCTGATTTTTATGTTTAAATAAACAAAACTATGACTTTGAGAGAAAGAGAGAGAGAGAGAGAGAGAGAGAGAGAGAGAGAGAGAGATTATGACAAAATTTTTTATATTTATTAAAAAGTTAATGTTGAGACTCAAACAAGTTATGTTTGTATAAATGTAACTTTATTAATAAATTATAAATTTAATTTATTAAAATAATAATGTAAATATTTTAATATATTTTCATTACAGTATATACTGTAAATTTTTAAATGTTTTATAATAGTAAATTATATTAATATTATTTAAATCTTTTTAGTTTATTACTGTATTTAAAATAATATAGGTTTAGATACATTACATTTTAATTGAGAAAAACATTAGATATGTATAGTTTAGTTATTAATAGTTAATAGCATTTAATAATGCTATTAACTATTATTTTTTATATAAAAAAATTTCATTACAAAACTTATCAAAATATTTAATAACTAAATCTATACTATAATTATTGTTATAATGTAACTATTTATCTAAATTGTAAAATAAAATTATATTATTTATAAATTGTTGACAAAAATTAAGTAACAATCATTAAAATCAATGTTTTGTTTTCTATCTCAATAACAATTTAGTCAATAAGTTTTTGCCTAAAATATTGTGTAATCGGTAAAAAACTTGAAATCCAAAACTACCGATAGGTTCGTAATCATTACGGGGAACGGTATTCATGACGGCATCAATCATATCGTTGACCACAATATAGGGATCAGTTCCTTGAAGTGAGTCCGAGTCCAGCCCTTTACTGGTCTCCTGTTTCCACTGTTCAATGTGTTTGTGTCCGTACGCCGATTTGATAGACTCGTCGGTATTTAGCCAAATGTTATCCATCGCCGATAGTATACCAGCAAACAGTCCAGTATTTTTAAAACCTCCCGGCATTATAGTGGACACCTTTACACCAAATCTTGTCATTTCGTCTCTGAGGGCATCGGAAAACCTAAGTACCGATGCTTTGGTCATACAGTAGGCACTATATGTGCCTAATGTTAGTTTACCCAATGTTGACGACATGTTTACTATACGACCTAAACATTATTTTTTGTGTTAACAAATATTTCTTATATATTTTTTTATAACTTTTGTTGTTTACCTTTTGATACCCGAAGTAACGGCAGGAATATACGAGTGACCCGAACCACACCAAACACGTTGACACCAAACAGCCGCTCGTAGTCGGCAAGTAGTCCCCACTCGACAGGACTGGTAATCATATAACCGGCATTGTTGACCACTGACCATAACTGGCATTTGTTTGCAATCAGATCATCGGTAACCTGATTGTACACTTGGCGTACATTGTCATCGTCGGTAACATTCATTTTCAGGACAACCATTTGATCGGTAAATCTACTATTTTTGGTCAATCCTTGTCCGCCATCGCCGTCCGGATCAAGACATGTGGCGTAAACACGAAATCCTCGTTCGTTTAGACTGTAGGCCAATAGGTTACCGAAACCCGAATCGCAACCTATTTATTGAATTAATACATAAAAACTTATATTTAACTAAACAAATGTTTAAATTACAAATTATAAGTAAACTTTTTTTATTAGTATATTTTGATAAAATTTACTCTTTAAAAATTAACATATATGTAAATTTTAATTAAATATTTTTGTTTTAATTTAAGTTTATTAAATTATTCTATAATAATAATAACAAATTAATATAAAATAATTGTAATATAATTCAATACCTGTAATAAGGACTGCTTTTCCATATGAGCTAATTAATTGTTTTGGTTTGAAATAATAAAATAATTTTAATGATATATAGATCACCAAAAATATTAACAAACAATTAGCAGTTAACTGACATAAGTTATCAATTATTTCTAAAATCATATTTGATTTATTTTCAAAATATTTTTGTTTAAATTATAACAATAACAAAATAACCAACTACAATTTAGATTTAACAACAATAAATAAAACTGTCAGTTACAATTTTATGTATACATAACAAAAAATTAATTTATAGCAGTTACTAGTATATATAGTAAAAATAATTGGACTTATACAGTCTATGACCTTGATGATTTTATTTTAATTGTACTGAATGTTTATTTGGTAAATAGTTTTAAAGTAAATTAACAGTAAATTATTTTTTATTGCAAATCAACTGTTATTATTAGCTTTTAAATAATATTGTTTATATTAATAGTGCAAAGTGTTCATAAAGAAAACCAAATGTTACCCAATAATCAAAATAAACTATTTATTTATTTATAGTATTGATGGATAAAACTATTAATATATTGATAATAACATTAAATTAATTATCAATGATAATACAATATTATCATAATTAAAAAAAATCTTTAAACAATTATACTATTTTATAATTAAAGACTTAATTGAAATAGCTATAGTGTACTAAAGATGATATAATATTTTTAAGTATCAAAATATGAAAATATTTGTTTAAAAAAAAGTATTTTAAATTAGTGATAAAATAATGAAATGATAATAAATATAAATAAGCATATTTTTAAATAATAACTTTGATAAAAACAAGTTTAAGTACATTTTGATATATTATTCAAAAAATATTTTAATAAAACAAATTATATGAAATATTTTACATTTACATGTATTTTAAGTTTTTTATATGAACTTAGTATAAATTAAAATAATTAAAATAATATGTTTTATAAAATGCCTAATAAGTAATTGCAAAATATTTAAATTTTGGTACAATTTATAGTAATAATATAAAATATATTTTCACTTTTTAAATGATGAAGGGAGAGAAATAAAATAATTTCCTCAAAAATATGAGGGATTTTTTAGGAAACTTCCCTCCCTGGAAATGTTAATTCAACTCTATACCTATACAAACAATAATAATAAGTAAATTTGTCCGAACCCTAATGTCCAACTAACCATGATACAATTTACATTTTTCTTTAATTAATTAATGCATATATAATATATATGATAATTGTAGTAAAAAACTGTAATTATAATTTTTTAATAATATAATAATTATTTTTTCCATTTTATTACAAATTAAATAACAGCAGATATGTGTTAAATCTTTCTTTTAAGTTGACTATTATAATGTATAAATTATTTTGTTTGAAAATTAATTAAATAACTCAAAAAAAAGTTTGGATAACCTAAACAGTTAAAAAATATTAGCTATAAGTACAAGTAACAAAGTAGTAAATTATATAATACTAATTTAAATTTTATTTTTTTTAATAAAAAAAACTAAACAATACGACTAATGGCTGCACGCGGTTTCAAATAGGCAGCACGTACGCACGTGCCAATATGATCCAATACCATCAACAATGACACCCCTAACCACATACCAATTAGGCCACCAATACTCGATACTAACGACATGAACGACATTTTCGGTATATGTTCGATGAGCTCATCCGGTTGTATGCCGTGTCGGATATGTATGCGTATGTCGTTTGTTGGTATTTGTTGTTTTTTCTCCAAATTAAATACATAGATAATATCTTTGCAATGTTTTTCACAGTAAACATGTTGACAGTTGGCTACTATAGCACGTGTCTGATTTTCAGTGATGCACGTGCTATAGTCTGGCCGATAATCGCCGCACTGGCCGTCAGTGATGGCCGCGTGTGTCAAGTGTTGACGTCGAAAGAAACGCGAAAACAGTGACGACTCGAACGGAAATTTGAAGCATAATTTGCCGCATAATTGTTGCAATCGTTGGAATATACAGTCGATTACACAGTCGTTACGAGTCATGTATTTACTAAATAAAAAACATAAATAATTATAATATTAAATAAAATATTTTTTTTTTCAAAAAATTAAATTAGAAAAAAATCATTTTATTAATAGTTAATTAAATATCATTTAGCCTGGTTACTATTATATTTTAATAATAATTAGAAAGTATAAAACAAATATTTAAGTATCTATTTAATTAATAATCTTATATTTTAAGCTAGATTATTAATAAGATAAAATGTTTAAAAAATAATAGGGATAATAAATATAATATAATATTAATAATGAAAAATTAAATAATAATTATAAAAATGGCACATTGTGTACACTTTTTTTTTACTAAAAAATACAATTAATCAAATAATATGCTCATAAACACTAAATAAACTAAGTTTGCTTCAAATATATATATATATATATAAATAGTTAAATATTTTATTTATTAAGAAATTACTGTTTATTATGATTAATATTGGATATATTGCATATTTTTAAAAAATATTTATTCAACTGTTTAATAAAAATTAATTTTAAAAAATATTTTATTTTTATTATAATATTACTGTAAATACTGTATGTTTGAATACCTATCGGATTCTCCATAACGGCGACACATTTCATGTGATTTCAACAATTGTGTCTCAATTTCCGAGTACTTGAACTCGTGATGATAGCCGACAGAGATTTCCTGATAATATTCAAGTTTGTAAAACGGTATGTCATTAGGTGAGTGCAATATAAACCAATAGTATTGCATATCTGGCGGAAACCAGTCCAGATTGGGCTCAATTATTACATCTAAAACCTTATTGTCGGTCTTAAAGTGTTTCCAGTAGGGGTTATAATCGGAAAAATAGGCCAAACATTTCATAGGTATTGGATTCGATAGTATAGTTTCGATAGGTCTGGGATCGGAAATCCTAATACCTCCCGGTTCCTCATAATAGGCTGAACTGTGGTTGTCTAGATTGAAACTTAGACGGTCATAAAAATCATCTAGGCTAGCATTCAATACGTGCATAACATATTTCTCATAATTCAAGTAGTTGCTTTTATTATTATTATTATTATTATTATTATTATTATTATTATTATTATTATTATTATTATGATTACTAGCTAACCCGGTTAGATTTTTAGCATAGTCATAGTAGCCGGTCATATTGACCAGATTCCAGGCTAGAAATCCCGGCGCACATACCGTTATCGCCGGTAGTATACGTTCCTTGAATCGTTCAATTTTGATATTGACAAACGTACGGCCAGTCATATATTGTCCAATAATTTCGTTGGACTGGTAGATAAACCCGGTCAGACATATTGTCGAAATAGCCAAACGAAATAATAATTGATTGCGCGATTGTGGCCGTAATAATATTTTGTTAAATGTGCGCCACATTTGTACCAATAAATTATTTTTGTTGTTTTTATTTTTATTATTATTATTATTGTTATTATTGTTGTTGTTGTTGCTTGATAATTTTGTTGACCACATTTGTTTACATCAATAATAATATTAATAATACAAATAAATTTAATGAAAATATTTTTTGATTCTCAAAGAATAGATTGTTTAGTTTAGAATTAATTATCAAAAAAAATTGAATAATTGTTTTAATTTGAGATTTTAAAAAATGAATTTACAGTTAAATTATATTTACAACAAATATAGATAATATGTTTATTTTTTTTATTTGTGTTTTGTTGTACTCAAAAAAAAAAATGTTTAATTAATTATCAGTTGCTATTTAATATTATTGTTAAAAAATAATATAAATTGTTTTTTTTATAAATATTTTATTTTGTTATTCATATTTATTATAAAAATATTTAAGTACTATTTTTGAATTAATTATTGTATAGCATGATCATGACCATAATAATAATTTAGTTAAATTAAATTTAAAACACTAGAACAAAGCTATACAAAATTAGTTATTAATAAAATTTAGTTAATAATTTTAAAATATTATTAAAATTCGAAGTAAGTTTATCTCTTAAAATTTATTTAAAATTTTAATTTTTATAAAAACCTTGATTATTGTATTACTTAATTTAATTTGTAATAAAAATTTAATCATTTAATAAATAATAATTGTATTGTTTGTCTATTTTGTTAGAAATATAAACTATAAATATGTATTTATAAAATCACAATGAAATATATTAATAGTTTTTATATACAATAGGGTTATGTGTGAAATGTTTATTATTTATACCATATGTCTGATACTGTATCGACAATGTTATAGTATATTATGCAGTACTGTATATAAACAGTTAAATGCTTTTTGAATTAACTAATAACAATAAAATAAAATTATAAAAGTATACTTTTAATAATAATCAATCACTTAAATGTATAGATGTGTATTATAACTAAATTGAATATTAATTAAAAAATATTTGTAATAATTAAATATATGACTAATTGATTATAGTTATTGAGATTTACATTTTAGTTTAATTTATTAATAAATATAATACTGTATAACATGTTTTTACAGATTACTATACTTTAATTTAAAATAACAAAATTCAAATAACTAAAACTCAAAATTAATACAATGTACTCAATTATTGAAGAGTACGTTTAATTGCATTTTAGACAATCGGTAAGTTTGTCCAAAATTGATTGATTTTGCAGACCATTCAACTGTCCCAACACATTGTTCAACAATGACTGTGTAGTAGCCGATAGTAAACCCGATAGTATGGGACATATGGCTCCCAGTCCTCCGAGTATACCACCCAATACACCGAGAAGACTGCCAACTAAGCCGACAACGGCGTCCAATAGTTGGTCCAGTAGTCCGACGAGTCCGACATTCAAACCGAGTCCAGCGATACATTGTTTAACATTTGGTAATTTAGTCGTACATTGACCCAAACCTATCATATTTAGACAAATATTATATTATTTAATATTAAATAATTATATATTTTTATAAATAATTATTAAATGTATTAATCAATAATTACCACAAATATCATTGAGAAGTTGTTGTGGAGTAATGGCATCACAACTATTGATAACAATAGTTAGTGTCATAACAATCACTATTGAAGATATAGTTATTAATTTTGTAGACATTATTCTAGAAAATATTTAAACAACTTTTATTAAATCAAGATTTACTCAAAATTAAAAACTTTTTTTATAAGTTAATGTTTTAATATTGATAAATTAAGTATGTATTGAAAGTTTTATTGAATATGGGATATATATATACTATTTTA